ACATGAATGCTGTCACCTCCTTTAACACCATCGTGTCTACTTCTTACCTTGGTGCATGAGGCCCACAAATGTCTGGGTCCCAGCAGCCTCTCCAGGGCCATCTCTCACCACTCCTGATGTCCTTGCTCTGGCCATCCCAAAAGGCCTTGATCTGGGGAAACCTCCCGCTCTCCTTGTTATTTATATGACGCACACCCCTGGCTCCCTGCTTGTGTCTGACTCCAAGCCCTGCAGAGGGTCCAGATCCACGACCCTCCTCTGGCACCTGCCCCCTCCTGGCCACTCGCGCAACCCCCCATGATGCCACTAGCAGACAGTCGTCCCTGTTGGCTCCCATGGCTGCCTAACTGCTGGGACTCAAGGGTGGCAATGATGTCACACTGTCCCCTGTTCCCAATGGAACCTGGTACAAAGAATGGATGGGAAGTCCTGGTGAGGGGCGGGAGGACAGGGCATTCACCTCACAACCCTGCCCTGAACACCAAGTGCACAGCAGTGCTCAGCCCCGTGCAGGCCACACGTGACACAGGCTCTGTGGCTCCACAAGTGCTGTGGGCTTGGACAGTGCAAAGTGGGAGGCTCCATGCTTCAGCTGGGCTCCTGGTGAGCCTGCATCCTGCCCTCCTCCACAGAGCCCTTCAGAGTCTGCATCCCCCAGACCTCGAGGGGCTCTGGTATCCCCTGCCCAGGGCCCAGGACTTGCTGGATGTCATGAAGTAGGTGCTAAGTGACACAGGCCACCAGGACAGTAGGGCAGCAATCGGTCCCCAAGTGCAGGTGAGGCTGAGAGCTGTCACACAGTCAACCCAAGGAGCAGGTCCCACCGTGCAACTGCTGTCCTAGCCCTTGTTATTACAATTTCCCTCTGGGCTCGGAGTGCAAGGACTTCTCCACAGTTTCTGCTCGGGGACAAAGGGACTTAAAAGGCCACATGGCTGGCAAGTGGCAGGGCTCACTGCAAAGCCAACTCCACCCCAGCTGTGCTGCGTGGATTTCACCTTCTCTTAGGAACCAGGTCAGAGGGGAATGACCGAGTGAGCCCCAAACAAACCTGAGCCCTTTTGTGACAGGCTAGAAACTGGGCAGAAGGTATCAGAAATCAAAGGACACAGGTCAGGCAGTGGTCCAGTGTGCCTCATCTCATGAGCCTGGCAGCCTCCTGGGGAGTTTCTTCCATCTTTTCCACCGTCTCACCCCTATCTGTCCATCCACCCAGCCATCCCTCCTGTTATCCACTTTCTTTTTCTTTTTCTTTTTTTTTGTCTTTTTCATTGTTATCGGTACCGGGGATCGAACTCACGACCACCTGCTTGCAAGGTAGGTGCTTATGCTGCTGAGCTAAATCTCCAGCCCCATGTTATCCACTTTCTTGCTGGCCACATTTCTGTCATGTCCTGGCCAGGCACTGCAGACACAGAAAGGACAGTCCTGGCCACGGAGCAGTGCGCAGGTGCAGACACCATGCCAGAAGACATGGCATGGGGAGGACGCAAAGTGACGGCCTGGATTGGTGTCCAGGGTGCAGAGGGGAAGGAGGCCCAGAGGGGCAGGCGTCACTCTTGCTGCCTCCCCTAACCACTGGTGCACCTGGGCCCAGCCAGCTCCACTCTAGCCTGTCAGGTGACCTGCGAACCTTTCCCATAGGGAGGGAAGGAGGACCTCACAGAATCTCCGACCCACAGGGTGGGGACATTGCTTGGTCTTCATGTGCACTGTCTTTTCTGGCCCAGTATGAAGTGGCAGGGTCTGGTCCCCACCATGTGGGGCCTCAGTCACCAGACAGGGTGTTGTTTATGGTCACCCTGTCTCCCTGGCTTTGGCTCTGTGGGCCCCAGGTGCTTTCAGGGGCCCAGTCTTCCAGATCCCCAAATTTACCAGAGTGGAGGTCACAGTGGGGCAGCACCCACACTGGGCCTGATCCAAATCTTCCCCCCAGCCCTGGTAAGTTCAAAGCACTTGTGCAAGTCAGACATGGGATGCATCCTTGTAATTAGCAGTTGGAGGCTGTGGCAGGAGGATCTTCATGGGTTTTCAGCCAACCTTGACTATACAGTTAGACCTTGTCTCAAAAACACAACACGACACAAACACTTGCCCACTCATGGCCACAGACGCCATGGCTGACCCTGGAGGCAGGGCAGGCACTGTGGGTCCTACTTTGCAGGTAGGGGATCTTGGCATCAGAGGAGCAAGCTGCTGTCCCTGCTGGCAGCAGCCACCGGAGCTGGGGCTCTGGGGTCACAGGCCCAGGGCAGATCCTGGCTCTGCTACAATCCTCAATGCACCTGTAAGAGGCACAGGAGCCGCCCTGGGCGGAGCAACCCCAGACCCAGCATGCAGCACGCTAGGACAGCACCTGGCACACTTGGAGTGCTGACAAGTTGGGCTATTATTAATAATAATTCCAATCATGTGCGTCCCAGGCTCAGCCCCCCCCCCCCGCCCCCGCCCCATACACTGCCTTTCTAAGGATTGAAGCCGGCAGCTGGCAGTGGGAGGTGGTTGCTTTAAATACGGGATGAGGACAAAAGGAAACTCCCGCCCCCTCCCAACCTGGGGGAGTGTGGGGGACAGGGGTGTGGCCGCTTCCGGCTTCCACGCAGGACAGAGCTCTGTCATGCTGCCTACGCTTAGTGGCCAGGGTGGGGGACACTGGCTTAGGCTGAGACCTCACTCCCAGACATCCCCTACCTGCAGGGTCAGTCACTGAGGAACAGAAAGTCAGTTCAGTGAGCCGCTGGAGTTCCCATGCACCTTTGCAAGGTGATATTAAATATTCCCCATAAGATTCTCGAAGCCCCACTGCCAGCTTCAAAGGCCTGCAGCACGCCCACCTCAAGGCTTTCTCTGGGCACTTGGGGTCTCCCTGCCCTGCCCTCATGCCTCATCTGCTCACACTAGCAGTCAGGGCCCCCCACTCCCATCCTGCACCCTGTGAGGCCTGTGGCTCAGGGATCTGAATGGTCTCTCGCAGTGGGCCTGTGGCCGCTGACTCCTTTAAGAACACACTGGAGCCTCTGCTGCGGGGTGGGGGGTCAGAAGGTGGCGGAACTGGAAAGGGACCATGGTGTCCACGGGCATGGGGACCTGGCCCGGAGCACCACACAGGTGAACAGAGACCCGCTGAGGCTGTCGGCACCGGGAGAGCAGGGGCTGTGAGGCTGGCACTCAGGGCCTGCCGGGGCTGCTTCCTAGCTAAAAACTGCCCACTTCGCCCTTCCCTCCCTCGCACCGAGATCTGCCAACTGCCGGCCACCTCGAGGTTCCTGAGCTCTGCTCTGCCCCTGCCGCTGCCTCCAGCAGTGGGCACCTCTTCCCTCGGCCCACCCTCGCCCTGTCGTCGGGATGCCCAGGCCTAGCCCAATGCCTCCTCCGCCTGCAGCCTTCGCCAGCACGCCAGTCAGCAAGAGCTGCTCCCTTCTCTGAACCCCGGTTCCCTGAACCCCACTTTTCCCCACCAACAGTGACTTCACTATGCGCTGCTTTCCACTCCAATCCCCGTCCCACTCTCAGCTGTGAGCCATTGGCCACAGAGGCAGGACCAGCCCATCAAGCAGCCCCCAGTGAAGGCCAGGGGACCGCATTGGCAAGGGATTGGGGGGCAGAGGGAGGAGAGCCATTGGAGACAGGCCTGCCGTGGGCCTGCCCGACCTGGCTCACCATGGCCAGGCTACTCTGCATGCAGGAGGGGTCCGTGGGGTGACACTGTGACCAGGTGGTAAGGTGCTCGCTGCCAGAGGCTCTGCTATCCTGCATGCCTTCGAGGGCTGGCCCCTGCCCAGGCCCCAATCCTGGTGAGTTTGCACCGGTCCCAGGGAGCTGGCTGCTGGCACCCCACATCCAGAGGTAGAAGAGAGGTGCCCAGTGGTGACAGCACAGGCTGGCAGGGTGCTAGTAGCTCCACACTGTCCCGTGCCTCCTGGCACTTGAGAGGGAGGTGCTTTCTGTCCCCACTTTACAGACAAGGCAGCTGAGGCAGCGTGTTCTGAAGAACGGGGTGACCTGAGCCAGATCCCTGCACCTTGGGGCCACACTCCTGGCCACCAGCTCGCCACTTGGCTACAGGTGGCGCCCACTGCGTGTGCTGGCTCCCACTTGCTGCAGATAGAGAACAGATGCCAGCAGGCGGTTCATCAGCCGCAGCTATTCCGGGCCTGGCGCCGCCTCTCTGCCTCCCGTGCCACCCCCACCCTGAACTCCTTCCACTCCCATCTGCGCTGTCGCCCACCTCCCTGGCAGCATCTGGTGTGGCACAGCATGGCACAGACTCAGCCAGAGCAGGCCAGGGCTCAGGGAGCTGCCCTTTCCGAGACCTGGGGGCACACTGGCCCTCGAGCCAGCTGGCTGTGGTTGGCCTGGGGCGGTGACAGGTGATCATGGTCCAGGAGCAGGTGTGAGCCACTCCTGGACGCGCTCCTTAGGGAGCAGCTGGGCTGGGCCCTTGGGTACCCTGGCCATCTACGGTACCCAGTGTGCCCTGGTCTGAGACTAGGACTAGGGCCAAGCTGAACGGGGCTTCATGTCCCAAAATGTGCCTGCCCCACGCACGCCCTTCTCACCTCTGTGCTGCTCTGCTCCCCTGGGACCTGAGCTGTTCCCCCTTTGGCAAAAGGCTGAGTTTCCTTCACATGCAGGCTCCCGGCCTCCGCCAGGCCGGGGACCTCACTCTGAGCCTGCACCTGGGGCTGTCCCCTCCTCCTGGAAGGCCCTAGACTCCCTCTGTCAAACCTCTCCTCACACCTGAGTGGTCCCCTGCAGCAGTCCGCACTCACGGAGGGCAAGACCACCCACTGCTTTCCCCTCTTTGTGCCCAGCCCTTGGGCCCTGGCACCCCACAGCAGTTCCATAGACACATGCTGAGCGCGGTTACAGGGTGCGGGTGTGCACACCACTATCCAGGGGTTTGGTCAGCACTGGCCCGGGGGAGCGCTGAGTGGGCTTCCTGGTGGCTCGTTAGCCAGAAGCAGCCTCCCCCGGTCTCAAGAGGCTGGAGATGGAGGTCAGTTTTTGGTAATTTTAATTGTAAAAACCAAGACATTTATATAAATAAGACCGCTGTGTAAAATAGGATTCACCCTTCTACTAAAACCCTTCTCCCCACACTCAAAAAGAATCTAGAAAACCCGGCAGAGATACGGAGTACAAATCGGCACGCGGTCCCTGATGCTAAGTCACTGGCGGCCAGGTTCCCTGCTGAAGCGGCCGCGCGAGAGCCCTCCTGGCCGCGCCTCACCGGAGCTCAGTGACACTTGAGCGTGCGTGGGGGCCGTGCACGCGCCCCAGCACCTGCCTCTCAACTGCGCATGTGCGCTTGGCCTCGCAAGGTCGCGGCTCTACTGAAGGTTCAAGCGCCCGAGGCCAGAAGCCTGCTTGGTCCTCCTGCCAAACCCCGGCTGTGGCGCCACGGGTCCCATGAGACGTGGTGTTTGCTGGCTCAGCCCAGGATCAAGCTGGGGAAAGGGCTATGGGTGTGGGTGGTCACTGTGTCCCGGGAGGACAAGGAGAAGCTGCCTGTGTCCTTTGAGAGAGGCTCCTTTTTGGGGCCACATCCATATGACCACGAACAACAAGGACACTGGCACCTCTTAGCAGTACTGGGGACAGAAGGACAGTTGGGCTCCCCAGATGCTAAAGGACAGCAGCTCTGGGGAAAGGCGGGACTGGCGTGTCCCTCTGGGAAAAACCCCAGCTCCCCACCCTTTTACCCTGTCACATGTCCCCTCCCCGCCCCTGCAGAGACGCTGCCCTTGCCCTGGCTACCACTCAGGATTCATCGGGAGATGGCTGGGAGCCTGGGGGTAGAGATGTCCACAGATTCACACACTGGGCATGGCTCAGGAAACGGGCACACAAGGACAAAAGAAAAGACCCCAAACTCTCCTTAGAAAGGCCAGGACCTGCCCCCGCCTATCCCGGAGGAGAGGCAGGAACAGGCCCTGCAGGGACAGAGTGTCAGGAGCACTTCCAGACACACACGGCCAGGGTCCCCCCGAAGTACAGGTACAGGAGGTTCTTCACCTCATGCGTGATCTCAAAGCCAAAGCCTTCACCGATCACCACGTGCCACGAGGAGCCGAACTTCTTATCCATCGTCTCCTTGATCATCTTGGCGGCACTCTGCAAGGGAGAGGCCGCGTGTCAGAGGGAGGGAGAAACCCAGCTCGAGCTTCTGGCAAGTGGCAGACCTGCAGCCCTGTTCCTGCTGCTCTGCACAGAACCATCAGAGAGGGCGTCCAGGCCAGGTTGTTGCACAGGGACGGGAAGTGAGCTGGGACCCCCCAGGCTGCCTGTCCTCAGGGCCACAGAAGTGGCACCTGCGAGACGTGAGAGCATTGGAGCGTGGGGTCACCATCATCCTGGCAGGGTGCCTGCTGAAAGGCTTTTGCCTCACAGGTTTAGTGGGCTCCAGGGACAGACAGACTGCTTGTCCCAGGTGTGGTGACAGCCCACTGCTTCCCATGCTGGCTTCCTCCAAAGCCCCCCCAGCATGCAGAGGCGGCCTGGGGAGGACAGAGGCTCAGGTACCCGCTATGCACCCACCATCACGCCAGGCACCACACGAAGAGAGCACTTGGGTCCCTTTGTCTCAGTAACTAAATCCTTGAGACTGGCCCGGTAAGGAGGGCGGAGAGCAGGCCCCTGCGCCGAGGCGAGGCTGGAGCAGGCTCTGAACTTGGGCGTAGCCTGAGCTCGCACTGGCCAGGGCTGCTGGTCACTGCCTTCTTTCTTACTGCCACCAGATGGATGACACTGGGGGCCAAGGCCAACAGCTTCCGCCTCAGCCCCAAGCAGTGCCTGGCAAGGAGCTTTCTGGACGGACGGACGGATGGATGGATGGATGTACAGATGAACGCCTGGGTGGATGGAGCCTGGAAGGAGCCCTAGTTGGTGGCCTGCTTGTGGGGGCCGGGGACAGGGGGGTATAGAGACCCCACCGGCCTTCCTGTCATCACCATTAGCCTCCTCTCTCCCCACCTCCCCAGCCTGTGACACTTCCAGCAGGGCTCTGGCTAAGGGGGTCTGGGGCCACTGTGTTCACCCCCAGGGACCCCAGTTCCAAGGGCCACCTGCCCTAATGAGTACCTCATTGTTGTTGGAGAATTTCTCACAGGCTGTGACACACAGCTCCATGGTTTCCACTCGCATCTCCTCTGGCATGTCCGAATGCTAGAGACAAGGTGGGGAGACAAACAGAGAGAGGCTCAGCCCACGACCTGGCCTTCCTGGCTGGCCTACAGGTCCATGCTTAAGGCATGGACACCAGGTAGTTCCCCTGGTGCAGCCCTGGCAGGTGACTCATCTGACTGAGGACAAAGGTGCATGGGAGGGAGCTGAGCCCTGGTGTCCAGGGCCCCCTGCAAGGGACGGCGTTCCAGGCAGTGGACACAGCAGGAAGGGTGGCGGGACGCAGGACACTGGGCTGTGGGAGTGTCCGAGAGACACCGGCCACTCGTGAGTGCTCCTGGTTTCCTGCTGTCTCACCAGCTGCTCCTTTCCAATCCCGGTTCTCCCCCTCCTCCCGGGCCCGGCTCTGCCCTCTTCCTTCTCCAGCCACGGTCCTTTGGGGTTCTGTCCCTTTCCACACACCTAGGTCTTCGCCAAGGGACAGACACGCCCTACATTTCCATCCCCAGCTCTGATCTTTTCCTTGGGCTGTGGACTCCCACGTCCAACTTCCCACTTGGCAACCTCACTTCAGTGTCTGAAAAACAACGTGATTTTCCCCCAAACGCACTCTTCCTACGTCTTCCCTTTCTTGGTAACTGACGCCCTTTTTTCTCCCCATTGTTTGGGAAAGAACAAACTCAAGCCCGTCCACAGCGAGCCACTTCTCTGCCTGCAGAGGTGGTCCTGACTCTGGTCACGCCCCACTCACCCTGCATCTGGACTCTGCAGAAGCGTCCCCTCTGTATCCCCACTGCCACTCTGGTACCCATCCACTTCCCAAAAGCTGCCTACAGATGCCCTCCGGCCTCAGGACAGATCCCACAGTGCCCACAGGAGTCCTCGCCGTGGCCACCAGCTAGGCCTGCAGAGACCAGCCCCCCCCGTCACTATGATCTTCATCCTGCTGCCCTCCCGGCACCCCACGGCCTCCTCTCTGCCCCTCTGCAGTGCCAGGCTCAGCCTGGCTTCCCGTGCCTGCTGTGTGCCCTGAGAATGCCCTTCCCACTTTTGCCAGCTGCCCCCAGCTGGATTCGGGTCTCCGATCTGAGCGGCCTCTCTGGAAGCCAGTGCTCTCTCCTGCCCCATCACCTGCTCTAGCTTTCTTTCTAGCACTTGTGGCCTGCCGCTGTGTCCTCTAAGCATCCTTTCACGTGGGCCAGGCTGTCACCTGCTTTGTTTGCCACTCTCTCCACAGGGTCTAGGACTGGGCTCTGCACGGGGCAGGTGGCCAGAACACATATGTGGTGGATGAATGGATGGATGAGAAGATGAATCACTGTCGCCTCCTTGATATTCAGATGTGAGTGGGCAGAGCCCTTCCCCTCCCTCGATGCTGTCCTGCAGGGGATGCACAGCACTTCCTCTCGCGGGCTCCCCGCCTTGGGGCTTACCCTGACCAGCGGGAAGGTCTGCAGGCGCTTATAGTCAGCCTCGTCTTTCTTCCCTTCCGTCTCCCCCATGATCCTTCCACCGTGACCACTGGAGGAGGGGGCTCTCAGGAGGTGCTGGGGCTGGCAACCAAGACGCCCCAAGAGTCAGGAAGCGGGCCCTGCCAAGTGGGTAGGAGCGGAGAGAGTCTTTCCCCAGGGGGTGCTGCAGAAAACAGGAAAACCAGGAGCAGAAGAGCTGGCTTGAACACCACACATCACAAATTAGAAACGTCTCCGCAACAGTTTGACACCTCCCGTCTCCACTCCTCCGCATCCCTTCCCAAATGGCCAGCGCGTCTGCAGACGAGTGAGCGAGTGAGTCAAGGCGCGGGGCTGTAAGAACACACTGTCACCATCAGGGCAGAGACTGACTACGCGCCAAGCCTGCGACAGCCATGAGCTGGCGATGAACAAAAGCTCGAGACAGGCCGGCCTTCCTCCTGGAGTCGTGACTGGGGGTCACGTGCTCAGGGACCTGGGACAAGCTGAGCTTATCACCAAGAGAGACCACCTCCGCAGGGCCTGACGCGCAGGGAGTGGGAAGGGGGCTAGATGCTCAGTGCCCTGCCTGGCACACCAGGCTCCCTGACTGTCCCCTCTCAGGCTACCAGGCCTGGCTGGTTGGCCTGGTGCTTGGGTGGACTGTGCACTGGTACTGATCAGCAGGACAGCATGAGGTCTCTGAGCCTCATGAGTGACGGCTGTCCTGAGAACACGGGAAGAGGGCGCGGACAGCAACAAGCACAGTGCCAGGCACTGGGTATTTTACCTGACAAGTGGCTGTGCCCTCTCTCTGGTTCCCAGGGAATCAAATGAGAGGCTGCATGTGGGTCTGACAGTGAAATGAGGATGCCTTACACATAAACTAAAAAGATAGCCGGGCGTGGTGGCACACACTTGGAATCCCAGCAATGGGAGGCTGAGGCAGGAGGATCGAAAGTTCAAACCAGCCTGGACTACATAGCGAGACCCTGTCTCAAAAAACAGAAACAAAAAACAAACAACTCCTCATGCCAAAAGTCAACTTTATATGGACATGAGCGTCACCTCACCAGATCTAGTTATCTAATAACAGACAGGGCTCTGAAGTCTGGTGTCGCCTTTTTTTTTCCTTCGCTTTCTTTTTTGCAAGGGATCAGATTCAAAGGTCCTCTTAGCACTGAGCTACATCTAAGTCCTTTCGGTTTTTTATGTTGTGATGGAGTCTTGTTAACTGTCCAGGCAGAACTTGAAACTGTGATCCTCCTGGGACAATCTCTCTCCGTGCTGGGAACACACCTGTGAGCCACTGTGCGGGCCTGGGTGTCTGTCATCCTGCAATGCAATTTATCCTATAATTCCAAGGTTTTTTTTTTTTTTTTCTTTTGGTATTGGGTATTGGACTCATAACTTTTTGCTTGCCAGACAGGCGCTTATGCCATTGAGCTAAATCCACAGCCCCCCAAGGGCTTTTTATCCCAGAAAAAGTGCATGCACACAAATCACCACATTGGTAATTTTTAAAAACAATCTACATTGAACAAGCAAGTTAGTAATGTTACTCTAATGTTATTCTGAACTGCAAGATGCCAAGCAGTAAGGACAGGTAGGTACTCTCCACACACACATGTATGTAATTTATATATACATGTTATTTCCAAGTCTTTTAAGGGATGGTTTTTTACTGTTACCCACGCTGACTCCAAGTTCCAGGGCTCAAAAGATGCGCCTGCCTCTTCGTCTTAGCAGCTGGGACTACAGGTAAGTAGTGACAGGTGCCGTGTATTAGGGTGCTGGGCCAGCCACTGTTGCAGCCCGTGACATGTATTTATGGCGCATCACTGCAATGGCCCTGGAAGTCAGGGCCGTGTGAACAGAGGCGGGGGACGATGGCGCTGGTCCGAGGTCACTCGGTAGGAGCAGCAGGGCTGGTGAGGCTCCTCCGCCTCTCACTGCAAACACACGGTGCGCACACCACGCGCGGGTAGCCCTGACCACTACGGTGCCCCCGTGAGCCTGACAGTGACGGGAATGTCTGACTGTCCCTTGTTTCAGTGTCTGCTTCCTCCTGTGACCGTGGCCTGGTTGGGTCCTGGGCCCCCCTCCTGGCTCTCACTTGCCTCCCTCTCTCTGAAGCTTCTGAAGCCACCTGTGTCACCCCATTCAGTCAGCTCCCTCGAGCGAGGCTGCCACCCTGCAGACCTTACTGTTCACTGCTATTTTTTGATTTCCCCGGGGACAGATGGTTCCTCTTATCTCATCATTCTGGGCATTTGTACCACCCAGATATTAGCAGTTTTTGTTTGTCTCTACATATGAGTTGGCAGATTACCAAGCTCAATCTCTTTCTACTTGCTGGTCAGGCTTCTTACTTCACAGCACGCAGCCAACTGTCTGTCCTCAGGAACGTTAAGGCCAGGCTTCGTCTCCTGGCTTCAGTGTTGGCCTCTTAACTGCTTTGTCCTCCACCTCGGAGGCGTGAGCGAAGCTGGTGGCTGCCGGGCCGAGAGGAGAGTACTGGGGCCTTCTGCTTTGTCTACCTCTGAGAGTTTGAAGTGGGAACAACTTAAGTCGTGAAATAGCTGCTTGGGCAATTTCCGCCTAAAGATTTCAGCTTGATTCAGTTCACTCTCAGAGCTGAAATGTGCTGGCAGGCAGGAGGCAGGAGAGAAGTCACAACTGTGCAGCGCTGTCCTGGGGTGGTCGAGGGCCGTGGCAGCTGCCTCCCCGCTAGAGAATTCTGCTGGACAATCAGCAGACCTCGGGGTGGTGCAGGTGCACCAAAGCCCATTCTTCTTGGAGCAAAGCAGGGGATGCCACCAGCCCTGGCAGTTACGGGGCAGCTGAGAACAGAGAGGCCCAGGCCTGGAATCTTTGGGTCTGGTGTCAGTTCTGAAAAGGAGCCGAGCTCTGCCCACTTTCCTGCTTTGTCGCCTGGGGCAGGTCATCTAGGCCAGGCCTTGCTACACCCCTGAAGGTGCAGACAGAAGGCTACACCCCATCCCCGTGGCCCAGCCTCTGCTCATGGGCATTTGGAAATGTTAAAGCTCTCTTCTGGGCACCCCCGCCTGCCCCTACTTCTGCCAGCATATTGGCCAGGGCTTGGTCAACATCACTCAATTATTAACATTACTCATTACTAAGGAGCATGATGTCTTTATTAATAGCTTTTCCTAACTACTACGTATGCTTCTGGGGACCCAAAAGGGACGAGATTTAGCAAATAAAAAGGAAGAGTTGTAGAGATGCTTCCATTTATAGAAAGGTAGGGGAATTTTTTATGACGTTTCATCATTAAAGTACAGTACAGTCGTTCGGCCATGATTAAAAGTCCTGCTGAAAGGGTGCTACCAAAAATAGCAGAGCTCGGAGCTTTAATAACCTTATCAATCTCCCCTGTGAATGAGCATGTGCCTCAAAGAAGCTGTGTCAGGCTGGAAAGAGCCTTCTAATAATACAAGTGTGCTCGGCCAGGGTACTCGAACCTGCCAGGCACTGGAGCTCGAGCCCATGGCATCCGGCCCTTGGTGGCACCCCAGCCCGGGGCAGCCTCGCTGTCTCCTGTCCCCCTTTATTCTCCCACTCTCCCAGGGCCCTCTGTGTGCTCCAAGGGTGCACAGATGTCGCTGTCCCTCATCGCCTTGTCAAAGCCAGCGCCCCTGTCTTGCGTGTCTATGGGGCTGACCTCTGTTACCATTTGCTATTTTGCTCTAGAAGTGGCTGAGGAGAAGCCTTCAGAGGCTGGGGATGTGGGAGGGATGGGAAATCAAGCTGAAAGGATCTGCCTTCCCTGAGACTCAAAGCCTGGGCCATTCCTAGTTCTTAGGTCACATTCACTCAAGAAGCCCACTGGGCAGCTGGTAGGACACGTGTTGGGGGATTCCGACTCGGGCTCCAGGCACGTCTGCAAGCTCAGCTTGGCTATTTCAGACACACGCCTGCCTCTCTCTGCCTCAGTCTGTCAATGGGAAACTGGGAACAGGCACAGGCTCTACCTGCTGGTATCAGCTCTTGGCACTGGGCAGCAGAAATGGGGGAACTTCTGTAGCCTCTCACAGATCAGCCCAACGAACCAACATTTCCTGCATCCTGCTACTGCAAAGCACAGTGTTAATGCAGAAGCAGGGGAGTCACAAGGACCTTGGGCAAAGCCCTGCCTGGGCCACGCAAGGGTGGCAGTAATGACATGGGCTTACACACTCAGGGTCCCATTTCAACCTTGGAGGGAAGGGTCGGCTCTCAGCTCTCAGCCAAGGTGCCTGAGCTCAGAGAGGTTTGGAGGCTGGCTTGAGAGTGCACAGCAAGCCGTGGCAGAGCCAAGACCTGAGCCTTGATCTGCTCTCCTAACTTTACCTTCTGAGCCTTCTCTCCTGGAAGAAGGGAGGAACCCAAATTGATTCTGTCAGCACCCACCCACCAGCCAGCCAGCTAGGTCTTCCTGCTTCCACCAGGGAAATGTGTCAGGGACACACATCTGTGTCCCTTGGTCATCGCTGCTTTTCCTGACACATCTACCCTGAGCCTTCTACCAAACAGCTGGAAAGGTGAGGGGAAAGAGTGCCCAAGGTCTTTGGGACAGTCATCAGATGTCAGTAGTGGAGTCAAGTGACGATGGGAAGACCAGGTACTCAGAAGCCGGCTTTCCCAGACTAGGTTAGAGGGGACAGCAAACACAGGGTGACCGTGAACCAGTTTCACTAAATCCGAACATTCGGGACATGTCATCTCCTACAAAAGAGGTAAGTGAAAAAGTAACAAGGATGGAATTGCTGAATAAAGGCCAGACATTCTCAGGGAAAGACAGCGGCCGTTCCCATGCAGCACACAAAGGTTGCTTTGTTCTGTTTTGAACATAATCCTTATTGTTTGTGATTTCAACTGAGGTCCAGGGAAAAACCTGCCGTGCCTCAGACTGGGGAAGAGACACAAAGGCAGGAACAGAAGCAAAGGGAGAAGCAAGGAGGGAGAGGGAAGACACACTGGCAGACTCGTCTAGATCAGCAGTTTTGACATTCTCTTTGTTCAGCGCCACGTGATAAACGCTGACCCACGTGGTGTACCCTCACCAACACACTGAGTGTGGAGGAAGTACCAAAGGCTTTTGTTGAGACACACGCCTAACAGGCACAGCTGTGGCGGCCGTCGGCTCTGCACCAACAGCTGCTTAGACAGACAGTGAGTTATACGGCCTTCACCTGCTTCTTGGACAGAGCAGACTTGGACAGATGGGACCACAGGTGACATTAGCACAGACACAGGCTGGACTTAGCGCTGATTTATTTCTTAAAGACTCATTCACCATTGCTAACTGCCAGAGACATCTCACAACCGATCACGATGTCACCCTGAGTCATGAGTCTAGGGAATTCTCTGGGACTGAGGAACTTGGTCTCATCTCCTCTACTTGGCCCAGGGCACAGAGTCCAGGGTCTGGCACATGGCAGAAAGCCAAAAATAAAAATCCAAACTAGAATTAAATTATATTTTATTTGTCTCCTAGCAAAGAAGAGGACCTAGTACAGTTATGCAATACTTACTAAGCACTGATCGTGAGCTAGGCACCAGGTGGGGTATTTTATACACAGGTCTCGTTTACTGCCCTGAGCTCTATTATCCTCTATTATCCTTATTTTACTGATGGGCAGATGGGCTGAGAAGAGGAAAGCGACTTTCCATTCTCCAGGTAAACACAACTCTGATAAAGAGCTAGGCAGGATTCAATCCCAAGTATCTATGACTTCGAAAATGATGCTTTTCAGCTACTCAGTGCTAAGGGACAATCTCTGTCCTAACGAACTTACAACTGAAATAAAGACCAACACAGAGACATGAGCTGTGCTAGCTGGCATCAGAAGTGTCAGAGGTAGACAAAATGGGAAGAGAAGCTTGGTGGCAGGGGCAGCACAGAATTAGGGCTTAAAAAATGAGAGTGAATTCTGGCAGGTGGTCAGGTAAGGTGACATTCCAGATAGGAAAGAGCGCCGGGCTCCTAAGGCAGAAAGCTCAAGGCATCTTCATGAAATGTCCAACAATCCAGTTTGGCTGGAGGATAGAATTTGGCCAAGAAAGGGCAAAGAAAAGTGGATACAAGGCTGGGTCTGGGTTGTAGATGTGCAGAAGGACCTGGAAGCCCAAGATTAAGAAGTGTGGATTATTTTTGGTGGGGAATGGGAAGCCTTTGGAGCTTTCTTGGGGGTTGGTGGCACAGTGGCACATTCTGGTAGACTGAGTCAATAAAGAGACAAGACAGAGACAGCAGTTAGGGAGCTACAGTTATGGACCTGAATACATGAACCGAGGTGGCACCCTTGGGAAGAAGAGGATGTAGGATCCTCACAGAGGCAGAAGCAAAACAACCTCAGTATTTCCCAAGTGGCATGGGCACAACAGAGTGGTGTTTGAGGCCCCAGGGGGATGGTGATGTCATGACAGAGGCAGGGAACCCAGGCAGAATAGATGCATAGGTAGAGAAGCATGCCAGTCTGACTTTAGAACTACTGAGTGTTAGTTGCCGTCGAGATGCGCAAACGGAGGTATTTAGTCAGAAGTAGGAAATCACTGATCGTAGACGACAGAGGCAGAAGTCCGATGATCACATCCCCCTATTAGTCACTGCCGGCCCCCAAACCTCCACTCTGAGAGTCCCTAACCACAAAATACAGGCCAGATCAAAGCTAGAGATACGGATCTCAGGGAGGAGTGAAGAAATGACAGCTGAAGATTAAAAGGGGTTATTTAATGCTTCCCAGAGCGGGATATTGTGGGGAAGAGAGACAAAGGAAGGGAAGTAACAAATCCTGACCCCACACTTGCGAAGGCCTGCAAATGGAAATCCAAATTAGATTCCCACACAGAGAGCACAATCTCCGGAAAGTCTACGATTTGGTCAAAGAATAACGTCTTAGAAGGTCAGAGTCAGAGAGGCCTTGGACATCATTCAACCTAACTTCTCCTTTACAGATGGGAACACTGAAGCCCCAAAAGGGAAACGACCAATCCGATGTTCCCATCGTCAACTCTCCAAGCCAAGTGGTCTGGGCGGAGGCGATGACGACCACTGGTCAAGCGGAGACAGCGGGGCTTACTGTGCGAAGGTTGGGGTGTAGGGTGCTGGGGGGTGTCGGATCAGGAAAGATGTGGGAGCACAAAACTGGACAGGGCCTTGCGGGGAAGAGGAGGGGCAGCCTGCAGAGTTGCAACGGGGATCTATCACCTCGAAGGTCCCCAAGTACGGTGGGTGGGGGGAGGTCCTGGGACGGGAACAGCAGACTGGAGACTGAGGTGGGGCCTCGAAGGTGGGCGAGGCCTCGTCCTCCCCGCGTAGCCTCCCGCCCTCCCTTCAGACTAGCCCTCCCCGCCTGGCTGCCCGCCGCGCCCCGGGGCCTCACCTGTTCCCGCGGGGGCCGGAGCCGGGGCCACAGCCAGCGCACCCCCGCCTGGGTTGTCAAGGAGCAAACAAGAGTGTCTTAGCAACAGCGAGGAAGTCCTGCCCCTCACCGGACGTTGACCAGAAGTTTACTTTTTATTGGTGGATAAAGGTGTCGATCAGTGTCCAAAGGCCCTACGACGTAGGGGTTTGCCCAGAAAGAGGCGTGGCCTAGAAGCTAGGGAGGCGGGGCTTCGCTTATAGTCGTCTTGCGTGTGCCAGAAGAGCCGCGGGCAGACTGAAGTTCTTTGCGAGAAAAAGAAAAACTTCGAAAAGTAGTATTGACGTGGAGTTTTTCGTCATTTGAAATAGTAGATGTAATTTGTTGGTTTCGTGACACCGAGCTGCTACTTTATTAGGACCTCAAAAACCTAATAACTAGCACTTATGTAGGGCTTTACGATTCAGTTAATTTCTCACTTGATTCTCACCACAGTACTTTTTAGATTAGCGCTACCCGCAACCCCATCTGAACTAAAGCGCACGGAATTTAAGCGAATAAAGGAAAAATCAAGATGATGTCTCCTGGAGAAGGAACCCGGGGCGCTCTCTTTCCACCGCACCTCATCTCCCAGGGTCACCTAGTCGCTAGGAGACACCTGTGCCATCTAACAGAAAGACACTGTTGTCCAGAGCCTGCCTTTGATTCCTCTCGGAGGTCGGTTACCCAAATGAGCTGGCACGGCTGGAGAGAAAGGGAAGCGGAAGAGCTAACAGACTCCGTTGGCTGGAGCAGACTCAGTGGGATATTCCATAGTGAACCCCATTGCTGCATTTACAGGGAGCTTAGCTCCGGCTGGGTGCTTGTGATCGCTGAAGGAGGGAAGGGGGTGGTCTGAAGGGTGATAGTGGCTTGGTGCTTCCTCATGTGAAGCGAGAACCAGGGAGAGTAGCTGCCGGGCAGTAATTGGAAAGGCAGTAACAGGGTCAGTTTGGCATATGGATCAGTCTCTTAGTGGAGACAGCAGACAGGATTTGGAGTAAGCAGGAGGCAGGCACAGTGGGTTTTCGTTCAGAGACTTGGCAGCGCGGAGGGTGTTAGGCCCTTGCCGAGTCTCAGCTTGCCTCCCCTGCACGCTCAGAGGGCCTCCAGATTCCTTCATCCCCTTCACCAGCTTTCCCCAGGAATGAAGGTGGCCTTTGAGGGGGCTGATGCTCTCACTTCCGCCTCTCACCCAGGCTTCTCCCCGCCGGGTCCACGCTTGCTGTCTCCTTTTACTCATCTCCCTTTCATTTCGAAGCCCACTACAATCTGGCTTCCCTCCCACAAAGCCACCAAAATTCTCTATTTCGTGGTTACTAGTGACCTCTTGAGGAGCGGACATTCGACAGAATCTTTTGAGTCTTTTTTGCTGCATGCTTGTTAGGCAAACACTGCACCACTGAGCGAGACCTCAGCCCCCTCACTGCGGTCTTTATTTTAAGGGAGCCATGCTCTCTGGTTGCTGAGCCTGCTGACTGCACCCCTCTCACGAAGTTCTCTACCCCAGAGAAGTTCTCTACCCCAGAGGCAGCACCTGGAGAATGCTTTACAATTCAGGTTTCAGGGCCAGTATGGTGAGGGACTGGAATGTGATTTTTCCCAACACTCTGTGGGTACTCGATCCTAATATCAGGGTACCTCAATTTCCTGCCTTTCCTGTCTCCATTTTCACCTCCGTGGTCTCCCCTTTCTTTTACCTCTGTGTCTAACTTGACCATCTCTTCTTCTCAGTATGATTGTGAATTTCTTGCTACCTTAGGTCACCTCCTTGTCAGTATCGGTTTTTTCCTTGATCACAGTGCTTATTAGAATGGTGGGAGGAGTGTGTTCTGGAAAAGCCCCCCTGGAGTGCCCGAGTATTCCCAGGGAGTAATACCACCCTCTCACCCTTCTTGAGAATTGCTATCTTAAGGACTGACCTTGGGGCTCTCATCCATTCCTGTGGTTTCCAATGTCAGTGTCTTTCTAGATTCTAATGGCCCCTGTCTTTCTTTCCCCAGATCCAAATATCCAAATGCCTCCTGGCCATCCCCACCAAGATGTCCTGCAAGGGCTTCAAACTCAGTGTGTTCCAAACTGAATCCATCATCTCCCTCTACCCACCTGCTCTCCTCACATTTCTCTAATATGCCATCACCAGCCACCCAGTTGCCTCCACCAGAAACAGGAAGCAGCCCTGCAATCACCCACCTCCAGTTCATCGGAAGTCTCCCAGTTCTGACTCCTAACCAGTTCCTCATATAGCTCCCCCTAGGCACAGCAGCAAGATCCTTTTGCATCACCCCAAAAACTCCTCAGTGGGGCTTCGACACGGGCCTGCTGTTCCCTAATCACCCTCCAGACCACGGTCAGGGTGGACTTTCTAAAGCCCCCATCTCCCCACTGCATTTCCTTCCCTCCACAGTTCCCTCATCTGCCCAGGGGCTTCCACATGCCGTGACGCAGCATTCAAAGTTCTCTGTGTTGCTGTGGGCTCCTCGATGTGCCATTCCCTCTGTGCCAAGACTTCACGGCTCCCTGCTTCACTGGGATGTTTCTCACCTCCCTGCCTCTGCTCGCCTGTCCTTCCCGCTCATATTCTTGCCACCGTTTCTTCCCTCCTCTCAGTTATCTGAGTCCACAAGCTTGTGGGCCCGCATGCACACATCGGGGCCCTACACGTGGCCCTGGAAGAGTGCTTTGTGTTCACATCCTGCCTGGTACGTGTTACCACCACCACCCATCTCCCCTGTTTCCTGTGGCTTCATTCTGTCTTCCATGAGTTCCTTCGGGGCAAGGGCCTTGTCCTGCTTGTCTTTCCATCCCAGACCTCCCCCGGGAACCAACAGAGAGCAGGTGCTTGGAGGTCTCTATGCTAGGTACAGATGTCCCAGTGGTGTGGAGTATGGCTCCGCTCACAAGCTCGCATCCTTTCTTAGGGCAGAGCTGACTTCAGGGTATGATAGTGTCTGTGTCACACTGGGGCTCCCCACCCTGCTCAGGCCCTCAAGGACTCTGCTCCATAGCTCCCAGAATACTCCCCTGCCTTTTCCCCTCTGTCATCTTCCCCGAAATGTAACCGTTCTGAATTAAATTTTATTGACTCTCTCTATACCATTTTTGTCTTCTATTTATTTATTTCTGCTTGATTTACTGACTACTGGAGATGGAAATTTGATTATCAGTCTTCCCTCTTTTTTAATGGCTACTAAGGCTAAAACTTTCCTTCTTTAGGGACTGGGGGTTTAGCTCAGCAGGCATAAGCGCCTGCCTTGCAAGCACTCGGTCATGAGTTCAATCCCCGGTATCGATAAAAAACAAAACAAAAAAACTTTCCCTCTCTGCAGACCTTAAACTGCATCGCACATGTTTTGGTATTCTGTGTTGTCATTATCTTTTAGTTCAAATGGTTTTACAATAAAATATTTTTGGCTTGATCCATGAATTATTTAGAAGCATATTGCTTATTTTGTGAACATTCAGGTATTATCTAGTTTCTTCTTTTTACCACTCATTTTTAGGTTTTTATTCAGTATGCTCCCATTCTCTAGACTGTGTGGAGACTTGCTTTTTAACCCAAGAAAATGGTTATTGTTTCAGTGTCCTATGATGTCAAAACTAACTGTGATCAAGTTAGTGACTTAGAGCTACACAAATTTACCAGAACCCTGAAACAGGTCTCTTTGGGCTAACATCAGGGCTGTCCCCAGGGCTCTAATGCTTTCTGAGGCTCCAGGGAGACTATTTGCTTTCCTTCCCCAGCCTGTGGAAATTTCCAGAATTCCTTGGCTCATGGATCCCGCCACCTTTAGAGCCAGCAGTGGATGGTTGACTTTCATGCTGTTTGTTCTCCTCCTCCAGATCTGAGCACCTCAAGATTACACCAGGATAATCCTGGATCATCTTCTTATCTCACGATCTTCTGATGAGCACCCTCAATTCCATCTTCACCCTTGTTTCCATTTGCTGTGTGACATATTTCTGGGTGCCCTGGAGTAGGATGTAGACAAAATTACAGGGGGTGGCATTACTTTGATCTACCATAATCAATATATTTTATGTGCATTGAAAAGAATATTCTACAGTTGCTCTGCGAGGTCAAATTTGTTAATCATTTGTTCACATTCTCTCTACCCACACTTAGATGTTTGCTTATTTCATAAATTCTATTTTTTTTGTCTTTTTCATTTTTTATCGGTACCAGGGATCGAACTCACGACTGCCTCCTTGCAAGACAGGCGCTCATGCTGCTGAGCTAAATCCCCAGTCCCCTAAATTCTATTTTTTTGTACCCGAGGATTGAGCTCATGACCTTATACTTGCTAGCAGGTGCTTACGTCACTGACCTAAATCATCCCCAGGCCTGATTTCATAAATTCTTAAGAGTGTCAAAAATATCTCACCATGGCCAGGTGTGGCGTACATGGCTATAATCCCAGCACTCAGGAGGCTGAGACAGGAAGATCAATGAGTTCAAGGCCACTCCAGGCTACATAATGAGTTCAAGGCCAGATTGAACTACATAGAGAAACCTTGTCTCAAAAAACCAAAAAATAAAAATTTATGAAACTGTATTAACATGTAGATACAAATTTATAATTGTTATATCTTCTGAAGAGATTGACTTTTCATCATTGTGAAAAACCCCTTTAGACCAAAAGGTGGAGAGATGGGCTAGAGAGGAGGGGAGGGGAGGGGAAAGAGGTAAAAACAAAAACAAAAACAAAAACCAATTAAGCTGTGTTATGTATGAGTACCAACTCCTCACAGAGATTGTAATTGCTACACACTGAAAACATACTCAAAAAAACAAACAAATATAAATGGATACAATTTTACAAAATTTAAGAATGCATTGAGATGCTGGCCTATTTGAAAAATGTAGCAAAGTGAACAATAAGTTGACTCCTACTGGTCTTGAAAAAAATGAAAAGTTCTTTTTTATTTTAAAGAGAATAAAACAAAACAATACAATACAATGAGAAGGACCTTGGATTTCAAAAGCAAGACAGGAAATCAACAATAGTACACTGCACACTGTTATCCTCCAAATAGTTGCTCAGACTACTGAATCCAGGCATGCAAAGTTAATCAAACAACGTAAGTCCTAAGTTGTTGCTATCACTGCAAAAATTTTGGCTGT